CACTGAGGCCGGCTAGATCAGGCATGATCACAGCCGTAACAAGTACAAGTACTTTAGAGGTGGATCGATATTCTGCAGTGGTAACCTTGCATAACAGGCAGTTCGACCAAAGACGAATTCTGGCATGAATACTTCCGGTGCTTCCCCATATCTGATGACTAATCAGTCATGACTAATATTTAATAAGGGATTTTTTTCCGTAAGGTGAAACGTTTCGCACAACCAGCAACGCTGGACTTGTCCAACGAGACGCCCGAAAATGGGAAACTTTGTGAAGACTGCGGCTTCTGAACTGACACAAATGCATCTCGGATAACTGAATAAGAATGAAGTGACAAGCTTGTGACAGAAGACTCTCACTTTGAAAAACTTGCGCCTATGCAAAACTAGAACACCAAAACGAGAAGAACCTCCGCTAGAAATGCCACGTAAAAATTGATAAAACGGTATTACAAAAGCTATAACTAGGTTCTTTCAGTGATAAATCTGAGGGCGAAGCACAAACAAGCGGGATGCATTTGAGTGCATTGACCATATGGGAATACGTTGGAGCCGCGATGTTTGCTACAGCTATCAGCAACCGACAAGCCTTAGTTTTATTGACTTGGCTATATCTGGGCTTTGCTGTTTAATTCCCTTCCGTTCAAAGCTAGCTGTCACATTAGCTGTGACAAGGATCCAGCCTACAAGTGCCGCTAAGGTGTAAAAAATAAACCTTATTTAGACGTTCGATGAGCCCAAAAGTTTGGTGGCGAGGGATTGATCGCGATATTTCTATCTGCCTGAGATGTTCTTGTGCTTTAATGGGTTCGACCCCTCCTTCGAGGCACCCCATTTGATATACACCAACGACTTTCACTCAAATATGACTGAAAGTTGGTACTCTGGACGTCTTCTGTGTTCGTACCTTTATACCACTGAGGAAATTGACCTTCAGACTTATTTAAATCTTTTGTCATCTGTTTTCGGAGCTTAGAACAGCTGTATCCTCACTGCCTATTCTATACTAGTTTTGAGCGAATCAACTTCTAAGTGACACGCATTACAGGCAAATAATACCTTGCTTCGGCTATGCATTTATTTTGAATAAGTTGCAATCTTTTAACGTTGATGATCATACCCATCTCATGCACTATTACTTAGGTATACTCTTGTTATCAACAGTCGATAAACGCTTGGTGTAAAGTGCATCGTGCAGTTTATCTCATAGACCTGCATCGCTGGTCAGATTGGCGAAGGAGCAAATGAACACGTAGACTTTCGGGCGATAAACACGTTGATAACAAGAGTATACCTAAATAATAGTGCATGAGATGGGTATGATCATCAACGGTAAAAGATTGCAACTTATTCAAAAGATTTAAATAAGACTGAAGGTCAATTTCTTCAGTGGTATAAAGGTACGAACACAGAAGACGTCCAGAGTACCAACTTTCAGTCATATCTGAGTGAAAGTCGTTGGTGTATATCGAATGGAGTGCCTCGAAGGAGGGGTCGAACCCATTAAAGCACAAGAACATCTCAGGTAGATAGAAATATCGCGATCAATCCCTCGCCACCAACTTTTTGGGCTCATTGAAAGTCTAAATAAGGTTTATTTTTTACACCGACCCCCCCCCTCCCTACCTA